GTGTTGAACACCATCAGGTTCTCATCCGCCCATTTGCTGAGCCTGTCCGGGTCAGCCTGGATCACCCGCCTGTCTTCTGGCATGGATGCTTTGCCCCAAAGTTGGGTGTCATCGGCAAACTTGGCCAGTCTGCTTCTGACTCCAATGTCCACATCATTAATGAAGATGTTGAACAATATGGGTCCAAGGACAGAGCCTTGGGGGACCCCACTGGTCACAGGACACCATGATGAGTGACTGCCATCGATTACAACCCTCTGGGTCCGACCACGGAGCCAATTTCCCAGCCAGCGGATCGTGGTGACCCAAGGCCACAAGTGGCCAGTTTCGCCAAGAGGTGGTCATGGGATACCAGATCGAAGACTTTTTTTGAAGTCAAAATATATGACATCAATCTCTTCTCCATTGTCCAGGCAATAGGTCACCTGGTCGTAGAAGGAAATGAGATTGGTCAAGCAAGACCTACCCACAACAAACGTGTGCCGGCTATCCCTCAGGGTGTTGGCGTTGGCCAGTCCATTAAGGATGGCCTCTTTAATAAACTTTTCTGTTTAGCTTTGCCATGTGCATCTCTGCTTTGGGCTGCAGCCCCTTGTGTTTCAGCTCTCACTAAATGGAAAGCCATATAACTGTTCCCTCAACTCACCCCCCCCCGTGAGCTGCAGCTGAAGGCCAGCGGTGAGGTCTACCGGTTTCACTGGGACTTAATCCCACCTCTAACAGTTTATCCACCCTTTATCTTATAGATATTAATCACATCTCAGCCTCTTGTGATTTACCCAAACATCTCATCTTTTAAAATAGCAGGAGCCCCAACCCAGGGTCCTCCAAAACGCTTGCAGGGTGTTCTCATAATGCTAACAGAGCTGCTGGTGGCTTCAGACCTCAGAGTAGCTACTGTTATTGAGGTGTCCTGACGTGCAACCACAATCAAGGCAAGGTGGTTTGGTTTACTGTGAGGTATTTCTTTTTATTGAGCTTAAAATTAATTGCGTTGCCCTCAGTGTGCTTTTGTCTGGGGAGGGTTGATGTGTGTTAGCTTATAGATGCGTAGATGTAGGGTCGGAAGGGACCTTGCAGATCTTCTAGTCTGACCCCCTGCCCTGGGATAAAACAATGTGGCTTTTCTAGCATAAAGACGAAGCCTACAACAGGTGTGGTATGAGAGGATTGGGAGAGTACACCCTGTTTGTCACTGCCTGCCCTATAACCCACTCTTTGCTCTGCATGTATTTGCCATGGGGTGTTTTAATAGAGCACATTAAAAGCAAGGTGATATGATGAAATTGTTCTGCTCTGTAAATGGCTGCCATGTTACCCATGCTACGGTATTACCTGGAAGCCTCCCCACTCACACCAGGGCCCATTGTGCATGGCCCCATGGAGGCTGTAGTCTAAAGAGATGGGGAAACACCTGAGGCATGCACACCCGCAAGGAGCCTGGGGCACAAAACCAAACCCTGTCTCCCACATGCCGGAGTGGTGAAGGCATCCAATAGTGCTACGTGGTTTTCAGCCATAAGGCCGAATAAACCTGCAATGATTTAAAAAAAAAAACATCTTTAGAGTTTGCAACAGAGGTTTACCTTGATACTTAAAGTAGGTCCTGTCCTATCAGCTGATCTGCTAAAAGGCAGTTTGAGTCTTAATCTGTTATCACGGCACCTTTGTTGTAGGTTTCTCAGGAATTTGTGTCGGAGATGTGTTTCGCATGGAACAATTCTCTAGTCCTTTAGCACCTCTGCCACAGCTGCTGCTGCCTTATTCCAGGCACCCAAACCCTTCAGGTGCTCTGCAGGCATTTGTCAAAGGTGGAAAGACACCCATGAATTTCAGGCTAATGAAGGAGGCCCAGTTGCCTCTGTAGAAATAATAGTTTACATTGCCTATTCAGTCTTGGTCTTTCCACTGAGATGGTCATCACGGTGCTCAGTTATACTGGGATGTTTTTGCGATGGTTCACATCACATCAGTTCACATCAGTTGCTCACGAGGCATCAATACAGAGATGCTAGCAAAGCAGAAGAGCTAGGACGCCTGCTCTCTGGGAAAGCGCTGGAGACGTGTAGCAGACAAGGTTCTTTGGTTAAAACCAATATCTCTTACTATTATTTTAACTATTTGAGTTGGTCTAATAAAAGATATTGGCTTTACCCAAAGAACCTTTTAGACCAGCACAGCTACAACCTACACCCCAGAGACATATAGCTTCACTGGAGGAAAAACCAATAGGGTAGTAAAAGGTCCACCTGAGGACATTGAATTATTAGAAGCGGATCATATATTTCCCCTTCAGCTAAATTACAAAGCAGGCTTATGTGTCTATTTGTCTACCTTTCTATCTAATCGTGAACTTGAACTTACACTGACAGTGCAGTACGCTTCCTTAATTTATGACACCGGATCTGACGGAGTCTCAGTGCTTGAAATAACTGGTTCTGAATCCTTGCACAGGACGTAGGTTTTAAAAATAAGAATATAAGTTTCTTTGAACTTCTTTATCTTGCAAGCATACACGATGGGGTTCATGGCTGAGTTGGCGTGAGACAGCAGGATGCCCAGGTACAGCAGAGACTTTGGGGTTTTATAGTCATGACAGAAATAGTCAATGCAGTTGAAGATGCACAGAGGAAGCCAGGACACTGCAAACAGGAAGAGGACGAGGGCCAGAGATTTAGCTGTCTTGAACTCCTTCCCATAAAACCCGCCTGCCATCTTTATGCTGGCCGTACTTTGGCTTAACTTCATGTAGATGATGTAGAAGACTTCAACATACAAGACACACATGATGATCAGAGGGATGAGGATACAGATGAAGAAGCCAAAATACACCATGTAGTCCTTCCTCATCACAGTGGTGAATTCACACTTGAGGCAGCTGGAGTTGCCTGTTCCTATCACCGTCTCCTTGTTATTCCATCCAAACATGGGGACAAAGGCTGTTAGCAGAGACACCAGCCAACACAGTCCCAGAGCAACCCAAATTCTCCTCTGTGTGGTGATGCTCCTATACCTGCCAGGGGGAGAAAAGAGAGACCGTATTAGATGTGGTTGCTTAGAGATAGCAAGGCAGCATTCATATTTCACAGGTTCAAACGCTGCAGATTTTGGGTGAACTGAGCTCTCTTTCGGCCAACAGTCCTTGTTAGGAGAGAGAGAACAAGTTGTCGGTCATTTTGCATCATTTGAGGAACAAGGGGCCAGTTTCTACCGGTGCTGTCACCTATCAGTAGATCATCTCTCAGTGACCACATTTTCAGTCTCAAGATGATCTCTGTGTTCCCACAGCCAGGGTACAATCTGCCTTTAAAACCACTCCCTTTACAAGGAAGAAAGAGTAAAATGCAAATCAGGCTGCACAGTGAACAAAATACCTGAAGAACACGACTTTTTCTCCAGTTTGCTGGTGCCTGGACCCTAAATATGTAATGGTCTGTCTGTCTAGCAGTAGTCTAGGAGTCCTCACCCAAAAAGAAAAAGCTGCTTTGTGCTCCAAAGAGCTGTTCCCAATGGGTTTTTACAACACAAGCAGTATGACAAATAGGAAACGCAACACAAGTAGTATCTTGAAAACCCAATGACTGAAAGTTGCCTTGGCTTACCTGGTGGGCACCTTTACCCGCAGGTACCGGTCAATGGCAATGGCCAGGAGAGACAGGATGGAGGCATTTGTAAAGAAAACCAGCAGGCAGCACACAAACAGGCAGGCATAGAAGGGTATGATGAGTCCCTGGTTCACCACGATGGCCAGTGGCATGACCAGAAGCCCCACGGCTATGTCGGCTAGTGCCAAGGAGACGATGAAGTAGAAGGTGGTGTTCTGGAAAGACGGGTTGAGCTTCACTACGCTGATGACCAGGGCGTTGCCTACAGTCGCAGACACTGCAATGATGGACTCCACCGTGATGTATATCGCATCCTGAGTGCTCAGGGATGTGCTGCTGTTTGTCATTGTTAATCACAGGAAATATCTCTGACAGGCTCTGGGTAGAGAAGGGAGGGGAAGGAAAAGAGCCAGAATTAGCCTGAGAGGACCTCTCCCACCGTGTTGTCTAGACTTAGGCGTCTCAATGGCACTTGTTAGAATAGATGCTTCCTCCAGCGTGTCTTAGAATAACCTTCCAGCTCTTCCCTATTCTTAGAAATGCAAAATGGCAATATCCCCTGGACATCCACAGATCACTGACCTCCCCAGAGAGTCCGCTCCTCAATGGCAGAGCTCCCTCTCACTTTCTTTGGGTCGTCTCAGCAGGTCGGAGAGTCACTTGGAAGCAGCCAGGAAGCTTGTACCAAAAAGGAGCAGCCCCCAGATTCAGCCCCTATGAACCAGCCAATGCATGTTTTTGCAGTTCCCTCTTTACAGCCTTGCTGACAAATGTTTCTTCTTCAGAAAATTGTTTGCAACACATAATCAATCTAGATAAGCGGTGTGCACTATTAATAGGAAACGAGACATTTAAGAGGAAGTAGAAAGCCACCAGGACCAACCCCCCACCCTTTAAATTTCTGCCTCCGACTTGAGTTTGGATAAAATTGCAACTGCTGGTGCTACTCTTCAAATAAGGATCTCAGTGGGACGTGGCCCCCGTATTTTAGGGAGGCTTTCCCCTCCCCGCTAGGACAGCTGCGCACTTTGGATAGCTAGTACGACTGGGATGGTCTTTTCCTAGTATAAAGGTAAGGCCTTTCCAAAAATGAAAGCCATACCATACCTGCCTCCCCACTGTCTTGCTGAACAAAACCTTCCTGCAATCCAGGTCCTGAGGAATAACCCAGCAGTCATCATGGACAGAAAAAAGAAAGGGACAGAAGAAAGCAAGGGGTGTATCAGAGAGAGAGCCCGAGGGAGCAATCTAAGCAGATGCAATTAAATTGAGCAGTAAGCACCTGGGCTAATTATGAAAAAGCATTTGTAAGATGCTTACTTTTTGGATTTCCTCAGCTTTCACACAGACAGGTAAATGCTAGTTGTGCCAGAAGAAGCAAATGGCCTTCTTAACATGAGTGATAAATGCTGGTGACACAACAAGGAGCAGCACCTTTGACTGGCAAAGGCTAAATAATCAGTTCCTTAAATGGCATGCCTATTTTCTCTGAGCAGATGCTGCTTAGGAGCAGCCCTGGAAAGGTGGAAGTGAAATCAATCCCCAATTTAAGCATTGCTCTGTGAATGGATAGTTGGCCAAATTCACCCTGGCTGCAACCTCACTGACTGGCCAGGGCCAGAGCTTGACTGTGAATCGCCTGGGGATGAAGACGAGGAGCGTGTTGGTGAAGGCACTGGGCTGGTTTTTTGCTACTGATACGTTTCAAGCTGCGTGTTTGTGAACAATGAATGTGTGAACAACCACAGTCCCCCACTGCATGTGGTGTTATGTATTTGGCAGACTACTGCAGACCAAATGCACGTGACACACACTCATCACCGGTGAAGGGGTGCACAAGATCACACCCCTGAGTTATTTGCTATATTCACCCCCGCCCCTTGGTGCAACACTGAACTGAGTTACCTCTCTGGGCTGCAGAAGCAGAGCTGGGTGAAACACAGGTTCTCTGTCTTTGGTCCCCTACCCACATCCTGTAATCAGCAATGTTTGCTTCCTTTTACTGCCACTAGTCCTCAGAGCCTCACGCCGTGGTCAGTGCTGCCTGAAGCACTGACTGCCTGCGAGGGGCTGTTTCTTGGCCCCTGCCTGTGTCAGGGCACAGAAACGCTCCCTGAGACAAACAGTTTGGTCCTGCTTGGAAACTGCGATCCTCTTGGGTCCAAAAGGAAATGGCAAATTCATCCTAACACATTTCACTAACCCAGGACCCATCCATATCTTCACAGCTACCTGCTCTGTGAATCAGGGACCCAGCACCAGGGCACAAAGCTGCTGAGGTCCTTGGGTGGGCACCTTTTTTTGCAGTATTGTCTATTCAGTGCATGGCAGCGTGGGACCCTCATCCTAGTTTTGGCTCCCTGAGGGCTACTGTAAAGCTCCATTTTTCCCATATCAGGCTGCAATGGGGCGGGGGAAGAACAAAAAATAACATGCAAGCAGCGCTTGAGGGGTTTCATGGGCTTTACCATCACTAACAACCTAATCTGATTCCCACTGGGAGTCTTGTCACTGACTTCAGCAAGAGGTGGTTGAGGTCAGAGAAAAGCAGCCATCGCAGAACAGTGGAGCTGGGTGGAGATTTTATTATTTCCAGTCCTGCCCTATGTGGATAATCCTGGTCTGCAGTTCAGTTGAGAGCCCGCGAGACCACAGGCATTCAGGACAGACTGCCTGGCCCGCTGCTTCTGCACCAGCTGCCTGACTTTCCATGCAAGATGCGTGCCTAACTCACTTTGGCTTCTTTGAGACTCTGAGCCCTCTGTGAGCCTCATCGTATTTATTCCCTGAGTGCTAAATATTGGCTTGACCTGCATCAGTTTCAGTCACGTTTCTCTGCATTGTGACGCCTTTTGGATGAGCCACAAAACCTAAGCCCCTAACCACAGCTGCTGTGTGCCAGAGACATCAGATATTTCAGAAGAACCTCAGCTCAGCCATGATCTCCTGAGCATCTAACAGCTGAGACCTTCCCCTGAATTCTCCTCTTTGCCACTTTTCTCCTGGCTTTGCGGGAGAGCTGTGGAGGAGCGAGAATTTCTATTTCCTGGTGAATCCCATGATTTTGCAACTGGCTCCAGTTTCAAAGTGGAAACAAAATATTAATTTAAAAAATGTCTGTAAAACAAAATATTTGAAGGGGGGAGTAAAACTGCTTAAAGTCAGTTATGGCATTTTGTTTAAAATTTTGGGGGGTGGGGGTTTGTATATTTAAAATTAGAAAAAAATAACTGAACTGTGACAGCAAAAGTCATTTTGACAAGGAAAAAGCAAAATTTCCATTTTGATACAGTTGGAAACATGTTAATGATCTGATCAAATCATGATGCTTTATTTCCTGTCCTAATTGAGATTGTGTTGTAATTGCAATGTTCCAATGGAAAATCTGAGTTTCAGCAAAATAGCCCCATCCAGCGGAAAAATATTTGGCAGGAAATATTTTAACTAGCTCAACATTGGAAAGAGCCTACCCAGGCAGGTTATGAAAGGCTGCTGTTGCAGCCTGGCTGCTGCACTCAACCTAAAGGAAGCAGCTATTTCTTGGCTTCAGAATACACACAACAATACACACAAAAGACAGTGGTTGCATTTGATAAAGTGCTTTGGCCTTGCAGGATTGTTCCTCATTATATTGCAATTATATAAATCTCTTCCTCTGGAGGGCGAATTAGGAAGGGCCACATCTGGGAGAGTGAGCAGAGCTTTTCCAGAATGATTACACCTGTCTTTACATCTCAGTGCTCCTCATGAGCTGTGTCTCCTTAGCAAGAGCTTTACTGTGTTTTCATTCAGCTCTCCTCATGCTCATTAGCCCAGCAAAAAAAAAAAAAAAAACATTAAAGACAAAGAAGACTCATTCTTGAGTGTTCCCTGACTTCTTCTAATCATCCTTGGTTTGGCTGCAATAAAAACTACACACTTCCCATGTAACTAGAGGAAATACAGCCAAAAAAGGAGCAGTTCTGCAAATCTGGCCTGCTGGATAAAAGAGGCTGTTCATGTTAGGAGTAAAGAAAGGTTCAAGTGGTCGCTTTGGGATCCAAAATCAAGGCACAGAATTTGCTTGGATCCTGTGTGTTGGTGCAAGCACTACTGAGGCAGGGTCCTCTGCAACGCTGGTGTCTAGACACAGCAAGCACTAAATGGGGACCAGGAGCAGGAGGGCTGCCATGGCATGATGCTGTGCCGGGGGATGTTTGCCTTGCTGAGAAGCATGCAGCGTGGACATAGCCTGGGGTTGTGAATGTGTCTTGCACACCCACACAGCGCTAAGAAGAATCTTTCCAACTACTGTATTTGAGTTGGTCTAATAAAAGATATTGGATATATCCAAAGAACCTTGTTTGCACACCCACAGAGTTTCAGGTCTACATTGGAAGCTTGCAAATTAAAAACCAAAAACCAATCAATTCCTGCCTTTTCCTGGGCTCCCCACCTTCTCTTCTGAAAGGGAAGGGGACAAACAATGCTCATCTACCTGGAAATGGAGCACGTTTCTGTGCAGAAGCTCAAAATCATGTTTCAGTTTTAAAATAGAAACCCACGGCCAGAATCCACAAAAAGCACTCACTGCTGTCAGCTTTCCTGCTGTCATTGAATTGTTTGACTTTTTAACCACTTTTAAGCTCTAAGACACTGGATCCAGAAACAGGTGAAGAGCATGAAGGAGCTGCAAGCCCAGATGTGCCAGTGCTACAGAGGGGAAATGCACGGGGAGGAGTCTGAACACTTCATCTACAGGTGGCATTTGATACCGTCAAAACTGCACCCTCTGCTCCATCTATGCTGTAGGCAGAGTACAAAGTGCTGGAGGTGGGGCGTGCTGCAAATGCTAGCAGGTGGTTCTGCTGTGGAGGGGAATAATCCCATACATGCTTATTCTCTTGGGCCTCCTTTTTGATGCCTAGTCTTGTGCAGTCAGAGGAGAGTCTCTTCTGGTCACGATAGCAGAGAACAGCCCAGCCATGAGCAGCCTGGATACATTCTATATTGCTTTTGAGGCCATGATTGGGGTGTCTGCAGTGGTGGGCAATGCCCTGGTCATCTGCGTGGTGAGGCTGAACCCGGCTTTCCAGAACAACACCTTCTACTTCATTGTCTCCCTGGCACTGGCTGATATAGCCATGGGGCTCCTGGTCATGCCGCTGGCCATCGTGATCAACCTGGGGATCGTCATGGACTTCTACGTCTGTCTGTTCCTGTGCTGCCTGCTGATGGTCTTCTCCCATGCCTCCATCCTCTCGCTCCTGGCCATTGCCATCGACCGGTTCCTGCGTGTGAAGCTGCCCACCAGGTACGTCCGAATCACGCGCAGCTCTCCGCTTTACTTTGTAGCTGGACATATTGTGGGAGGGCTCCGGCTTCCCCAGGCATCTCTCCCCAGCTCAGACCCCAGCATGAGCTGCCCGGATTCCCCACCTCCTCTCCCTGCACCTCTTTGTCCCTCTCCCTGTGTTAGCCAGATACACTCCTCTATCTGCAAATTCAATCTACCGAGCTGCTCAGGAGAAGGGAAACATTATTATTATTATTATTATTATTATTATTATTATTATTATTATTATGATGTAGAACCTGCCCGGTGCAGAGCAGGGACAGAGCAGCTGCAGAGTGGAGACATGCATGCATATATTTATGGAGTGATCTTTTATTGAACCAGCTATGTAGCTGGGATTAAGTCCTTGCCTCTTGTGGACCATCACAGCTACAATATCACTCTCATACTACCATATATTTATAGAGCCCTTTTAGAGTCCTTGTATTTTCTGGGATCACTTAATGGTAAAGCCAGTTTGCTGACTGTGTGCAATCCTGATTTCAGTCATTTCTGCTTGTGTGTTTATTTAGGGGCTGGTTATTTTAAATGCCACTGCCTGCTACAGTACTGAGTCAATATGGGAACGGAGCTGACAATGTAGTATGACATTTTTTCATAGCTTAGGAGATTGATTTGTCAAAACTAACATCATCCCATGTTCTCAGTATAGTCCTGTGGGTTTTGAGGTGAAACAAACCACCCACTCTTTAGAGATCCCTCTATAGTGATAAAAAAAACATTGCAAAAGATGAGTTGTGAATGACTTGCTGCTTGTCCAGTAATTGCACAAGAAACAGGTTAATTTAAGCAGGAAATCTGCGTCATTCAAAGGCACAAATTCCTCAGTACTATGTTGTTCTCTAGAAGGAATCTCATCTAAAATGATGAGTGTGTTGTGCCCCTTACAGGTACAAGATAGTCACCACGCGGAGGAGGATTTGGCTGGCTCTGGGATCGTGCTGGCTGGTGTCTCTGCTGGTGGGATGTGTCCCCATGTTTGGATGGAATCAAAAAAGCCCAGGGAGCTCCAGCAGCATGGTGTGCCGCTACCTTGCCGTGATGAGGATGGACTACGTGGTGTATTTCAGCTTCTTCGCCTGGATCCTCATTCCTTTGATCATCATGTGTGTCCTGTATGTTGGGATCTTCTACATCATCCGCACAAAGCTAAGCCCAAATGTGGCCGTCCCAAAAATGACAGGAGTGTTTTACGGGAAGGAGTTCAAAACAGCTAAATCTCTGGCCCTCGTCCTCTTCTTGTTCGCCGTGTCCTGGCTGCCCCTGTGCATCCTCAACTGCATTTCCTATTTCTGTCATGACTGTAAAATCCCACTGCCTCTGCTGTACCTGGGCATCCTGCTGTCCCATGCCAGCTCAGCCATGAACCCCATCGTGTATGCTTGCAGGATAAAGAAGTTCAAGGAAACCTACATCTTTGTTTTAAAGACCTATATTCTGTGCGTGAATGCCAATCCTTTCGTTCGTAGTGTGGAACATACATCAGAGCAGGCGTCTCTGAGCCAGATCTGACTGAGCGCTGGCCCCCATGACCTGCTGCAATCCCTGTCCTGGTGGATCTCCTCCAGCTGAATAAAACCATCTCAACCCTGGGACTGAAGCAGCTGGTCTAAGGCAGCATTTTCTGACATCATCCAAGTCAGTCCTTGTGCATTTCTTGGTTACTGTTATTGAGCTCTAGGTATTTATAATGGGATGTGGAAGTGTCCATCTCTAGGCTGTCAGTTTAAATCCCTGCCCAAGGACAATACCAAGTGTAACATCCTACCAAATTACCATCCGTCTAGTGTAAAAACTTCCGAGTATCCTGATGGTTACTCTAACCATATATTTTTCAGTTTTTTTCTAGCATTAAAATAGGAGCTTCTGCAACCCTTGATTTGAGCATAGTCTCAAATGCCTTCCACTACCCTTACCCACTGAACTGACATACCCCACCCAGCTTCGGATATGGTAAAAATAGGCGTTGAATTAGACCGCTATCATTTAACAAACTCTGATTTCCTACGTAGTCAGGGCCCCACACATTCAATGGCTGCAGGATGTAATAGGGAGCAGGTGCTGGGCATTTAGATACACCGAAGTTGGAGCTGGACTAGGTGGTTTGTGCAGGGGAAGCAGTATGGCTGCATAACACGACACTTCAGGCAGGTGCATTCGCCCTGCTAAAAAGTAGGGCGAATAACACTGCTGAAGTGTCTTTGCCCAGCACTGCATCCTGTCCCCTTGGATGTGTTTGTAAATCCACCACCTTGCACGGAAAGGTGTGACGTGACTCTCTGCTTTCACTCAGCAGATAAAACAGTCCAGCACTAGTGAAGAAAACCTTGCAACAACGAACCCGGTGCAGCCAAATTGCACGGAGAGGAGCCACCCCCCTCATTCCTCTCAACAGAGCCGTTCCTCACGGACTTCAGAGCTAAGCTGCTAACCACGTTACGTCTCATCGGTGATCACTGCAGCTAACTTGCCTTTCTCACCATCCGAAAGTAACACCTTCATTACTGAAAGCCACGCTTACCACTCTTCATCTTCTGAAACGCCTGAGACGTAAATGCCTATGATCATAAATGCCGTGAAGGTTACACACACAGCCATGTTCCCTTCCCTGCTAGTGTGGGCTGGTCAGAGGTCGGCTGGGAGATGTGACTTCAAGTTCAAGCAGCAGGCTCATGTGTTTTGGTCCAAACACCCTAAGGTCACCCCTTGCTGCTGGTGAATCCAGGGCCCTGACACACAATTTAGGTTGGCTTCCTTTGGTTGGGTGAGGGATGGTGCGGGGTTTTGTTTCCCATACATGGTTGGCGGGTTCGTGCAACCCCAAAGAATTCAGCTCAGCATGCCGGAAAGCTGTGCTACCTTTTTGATGGGACCCAATGAGTAGGAGCCCACCATGTCTTGCAAACTGCACAGAGCACCTCTGCAAAAAAACTGGGCTACGTTATTGGCTTTCCTTGCAACCACTTCTAAATTTAGCAAGAAAACTGGGCAGGAAGCCTGCAGACTGTAGTGTTTTAGGACCTCGCAACTAATTAAAATTGTGAATAACACTGATTGTCCAGCGTCAGATTAATCTCTGAGTGGAGGAACTCCTTGTGCTGTAGGTTTAAAGACTGTTGGTTTATAAGATGCAAAAATAAATCTTGCTTGTTTCCTTTTGCAATGGCCCAGCTTCCTGGCATTCATTTGCTTTTGCCTCGAGTGTGAAGGCACCCTGCTCTGGATGCTGCTTCTTTCAACCCTGTCTGTGCAGTTCTCAGTGCTCCTCTCACCTCGTCTGCTTGAATTACATCTCACATACAGATTTTCGAGACACTCCCAAGAAAAACCTCTTTTGGTTTTCCCCTTGCATTTAGGCCTCTATTTTTTCTCCAGCACTTCCACAGACTCGCAGCAGGTCTGGCTCCTTTGTCATGGTCCTACCAAGAGGCCAGTTAGTCATGGGAGGAGATGCAAAGTGTTGTCGTAGGCGAGAAATCTAGCTTGGAGAGAGAAAGCAAAGAGCCTGATGATGATGTGGGGGCCTTCTGGATGTGCATGAGGCTGTGTGTTGGTTGTTTAATATCTATATTGACCATCTGAAAAGGGCAAACAGCAAGGGAGAGAAAATTGCAAGTGGTAGATATGGGATTTATAGGGTAGTGAAGATGATAGAGGACTGGGAGGAATTTCAGGGAGGGTTAAGCAAGCCAGGGGAATGGGCAACACACTGGCAAAGGAAGGTAATTACTAATAAATGAAAAATCATTCACACTGAAGGGAAACATTGTGCTCTGGTGGTAGAGGAAGATCCACACCGTATACTTCAGAGGAAGTGGTACAGCGTGCAGGAAAGCACCTCACAGTGAAACACAATGCTTGGAAGGGAAATTCTTCTTGAATCTGAAGGAGAACTCGGGGCCCCTCAGGTTTTCAGTCTTCACAGAGTATCTAGAGACTTTCCTGGCCATCTCAGAGAGACTAGTCCCTCTTCGACCAGCCCCAGGATGATCTGAACTGGAAATCAGCCAGAAAGAAGACGCTTTGTGATTTCTGTTAGCGATGCTTATCGACTGGTATGTGCCAAGGTGCAGGAAGAAGAGGTGTGAAATTTGCAATAGTGACTCACAGGAACACCCTCCTCTTTTTTTTCCACCAGCGCCGGAAACAAGGGCTCTGTATCGGAGCTCACGAGGACAGACGGAGAGCTCTGTGCCACACGGACCCGGTGAATCCCTTTCCATGAGAGTCAGAGAAGTGGAGGGGGAGCACGCTGCATACCGACTGGGAGCTGGCGCATGGCCGGCGTTACAGCGTCGCATGTAGCATACTCAGTGTTACTCTCCAGATAGGCTGTAAAGGAGCTCTGTCCTTGCAATCTGCTGGAGCAACTGTGTGAGTCTGCAGTGAGGTTTCATTGCACGTAGTTAGTGTTGTTGGGATCTGACTGTCTTCATGCCATACCTGTTGTAGAAAGACTGAAAACCACAACATTCAGCCTCAGAGCAATCTTCTTCCTCCAAAGGTGGAGGCTTTCACCAGGGTTTAATTTACTGTGACATTATTGGTGATGCTTCAAGTTTTTTGAAACTGGAAGGAGTTCTGAAAAAAAGTCTAGGAGCCTGAATCCCATTGGTATCCAGCAAAGTCACACATCCACGGTATTATCAGCAAAGATGGCAAGCCATTGAAACAAGCTGCTAAGTGTTGGATCCTCCTTTTCTTGGCATCCTGGGTCCAGTCTGGATGCTTTTCCAGACGGCAGGCTTTAGCCTAGATGAGGTTCGGTGGCCTTTGGCAGAGAGGTGGTCTGACGATCCCTTCTGCCTTTAATACTCGTGAATCCAGGAGACTTTTAATCACTCAGGCACTTCTGGAAAGTTTGCCCAATATGTCTAAAGAGCCTCATGTTTGGCGAATAGAGTCCAAGCCAGGCATGTGACTCTTTTCAGTCCTCAGGGTGCACTGAGAGACGTGCTGCATTTAGACCCTCGTGCTCTGTTTGCTGCCCAGCTGCAGTACCCCCGCAAGGAAGATCTGCCGTGACCGGCCCCTTCAGCACTTGCACGGCCCGGGCCAGATGGTGATGCTGAACGTGGAGTCGTCACAGCATGAGTCACGTCGATCAAATCAGTGGAGCAGCTTGTGGTATAGAGACCGGTATGAGTAAGGGGATCCCGAGTCTGGCAGGGAGCTAGGAAAGGGGCAGGTGACAGGAAGACGCAACAAAGCAGAAGCTTTGCCCGTGGCTGTAAGAAATGCAGTGGCCGGCACTTCACCGAGGTGACTCTGGGGGGGCTTGGTGTGGGTCTCCAAGCCCTGACTCCTGCAGCCAGATGCGTACATGAGAATCTCATCTCTCCTTGGAAGAAAAGTAAGCTTTGTGCCGTCAGAATAGCCTGGCACCTGCTTCAGGTGGGTCCTGAAGGCTCAGGAATTTGAAGCGACAAGAAAGAAAAAAACATTTATTATTTCCTTTAAATATGAGTTTACCTGATTCATGATTTTCTGAACTCTGGAAGCCTCAATATTGGAGGATGTTCCCTTTAGGATACTTAAAACCATGGCGTCCGTTGCTCACATCTACCGTGTCTATGTGTTTCCCATTCTCTCATGCATCATCTTGCCCATGAAAGGCCTGATCCGGAGTCAGGAAACTCCTCCTTGCTGTGGCCTGGATCCAGAATCTGGGACTGAAGGTCTATTTTGGATGCATCTCTGTTTATAATCTACCTTTTTAATGTCAAATCACTGAAAAATGGTGGAGGTGGTTTGATTTGATTTGATTTTTTTTTTTTAAAGAAACATGTCTTTTGAACTCTGGAGCCCTTTCGTGGCTTGTCCTCCAATGGCCGGCGTGCTCCAGACAGTCACAGACAGATGGACAGATGAGCCAGAGGGAGCAGCGTATGAGAGAGACTTCCCAGGTCCTGTTCCCAGTATCTGCTCCCATCACCCTGCATCGGGCTTAGCTGGATCCCTGCATTAGCTCTTCCCCTGGCTTTCTGGGAATAGTTGTTCCTTTAGAGCAAATCCAGTACGAGAAAGGAAACATCCTCAGCAGCTCTGTATTGTGGCTGTAGGCATCACAGGTTCAGCCTGCAAAATATGGAGGGACCTTTTGAAAATGTTGGCCTTAAATACTGGTATTTTTATGTGAATCCAACTTCTAATCGGTGACCAGCCTACAGTGCCTCTCGGTGGCTGCAAATATGGGCTAAGATTGTCACACCTCTTGGCACTTCGTGAACATGGCGTGTCCCACAAGTGTTTCTGAAACATCTCAACCAGGAACCAAAGAGCGGGAAGTTTTTCTCCCCACTCCATCCAAAGGAGCTGAAGAGAAAAGGGTCTTGATGTTAACAACCAAAAAACAAAAAAGAAAGTTAAGGAAAATAAAAAACCCTGGGGACTCTGAGAAACGGCCACAAGATGCCAGCACTTTCCCACATTATACCAGCCCCAGAACAACGTGAATCAACTAAGGCTCAAGTGAGTAGGTGGACGCATTGCAGGAGGAGAACACGACACTTCAAGCTCTTACCTGTCCTTTGCGGGTGTTTAGTAGGTACCTGCTCAGCCGTCTGGGGAGGGAATGACATCCTTACAACTTTCCTTCCTGGTGATGCCTACAAAAAGCCCAGTTGCAGTTGGGTGCCTGTGACCGGGTTCTCCCGCTGCCCAGCGTCGTGGCTTTGGGCTCCCCTGTTTTCCCTCTTGCATTTGCCCTCTCCTCTCATCTGGCATGGGTGACCTGTTTGGGGAAGAGGCCACCGGTTTGCAGGGGGTTGGTACAGCACCTAGCACAGTGGAAAAAAAACTAGGGAAAAAAAAGAATTGTCCTTCCTGAAGTTGGTGTTGGACAGTGCTAAAGCCATCCCTTTGCCTCCAATCCTATTGCACCAGTTTCCTCCTGGGGGCTGCCTGTTGCCTTCAGCAGCTTGATGCAAGGGGTAACTTAGGCACTCCGGGTTATCTTCCTCCAGCCTCACAGGAGCTCTCCCTTTGGTCTTCCAAGAGTGAGCCTGGTGTGCTGCCAGAGAGCCAACACCTCTCTGTAATGCCTACGACTGAGGGGCTGTAGCCAGCAGGCTAGATCCCAGCGCTGTCAAATGCCTGTGGAGGTTAATAGCAGCAAGGGGCAAAATGCAACCAGAGGGGATCCGACATCTGAGCTATTGGGTGCGGAGAGGGCCCTGGGACCCTTCACGGATGGATTCGCACTGACTATCGCTGACTGCAGCAGCACTTACCCATATGGAAACGTCCTGCAAGGGACTGACAACTCTTCCAATGGGACTAGGCGATAGGCTTTTTCTTCTTGGGGGTGTAAAAAGTGCCTAGCACATTGTTCAGTCCTTCTTCTTGAGATTCTTGTGGTTTGTGTCAGTCTAGGGGGTTTGCTGGACATTTCTCTCCCAGCTATCAGACTCTGTAGGACCTTCACAAGTTGTTTTACAGGCTCTTCCTTTCCTGCTGTGTGAGGATGCTTGGCTGCAGCTGGGCTTCAGCTTGCTGTGGACGTTGAGTCATAAAATCATAGAAAATGAGGGTAGAAGGGACCTCGGGAGGGCACATGTAGTCCAACCCCCTGCTCAAAACAGGACTATCGTCAACTAGATCATCCCAGCCAAAGTTTTGTCTAGCCGGGTCTTTAAAACTTCCAAGGATGGAGATTTCACCTCCTGTCTGGGTAACCTGTTCCAGTGCTTTACTAAGAGATAGAGGTGGGCAGTGTGGAGGAGGGCTTAGGCTGGCAGCCCCATCACTCGGAGCTTAGCAACCTAGCGAGGAATTGCAAATGCGGGGACCTCAAGTTAGGCAGCTCAGGTGGAAGCGCAGCAGGAACCAAGGGCTGAAGGGTTAAGGAAATGCCCTTGCTGATAGATACCAGTGCCAAGGACAGCTTGGAGGAGAGCATCTTTCCGAGGGTTATTTTTCCCTCGGTGCCGTGGCCGCAGACTGCATTGCCAGGCACTGCCTGAGCATCAGCTGCTCAAGGACAGCACGTAGGGAAGGTGGGTGGCAGCTGCAGACCCCCATCGAAAGGGAGAGCAGAGGTCAGGAGTGAGGTGAGGGGTGCTGGATGGTATCGCCTAGCTGGTACCAGGCAAGGGAGGCTGGGGAATGGCTTGCTGCAGGGATGACTTGTTTCCTATTAACTTCAGCTGTTTCTCTGTGATGACAAG